GACATTGCCATGCGACACAACGCGCTAGCTTCGACTGGTATCATTCGAGTTCCATCGAACGCGTCTACCAACACTGTCTCATCGCAAGTGACTTTTACGCTTGATATCCGACACCCGCAGGATAGCGTGGTACACGCTGTGCAGGACGAGTGCCTCCAGGCGTTCGAGGCTATTGCATTGCAAGATGGCAAGGGTGTGTCCTTTGACTGGACGTTGGATACGGACTCGCCGGCTGTCGAGTTTGACGATAACTGCGTAGCATCTGTTCAGGCTGCGGCGGATCAGCTGGTTGGCCGTGAGAAATCAATGCTCATGACTAGTGGTGCCGGTCATGATACGGTTTATACTAGCAAGCGCTGTCCCTCTGCGATGATCTTTGTGCCTTGTCGGGATGGTGTGAGTCACCACCCGACGGAATATTGTAGTCCGCAGGATTGGTAAGTCTCTCTTGTTTTCTTGGTGCTTTTTCAAATCTGACAGTCGCAGTGCTCTGGGTACGCAGGCTCTTCTTGAAGCTGTTGTTCACTATGATCAATCTAGAGTGGAATCTGAAGGGCAAAAGTAATCGGTAGTTCAAACGTATGGGCGTTAAAGTAAACCTAGATTTGACTACAGAGTACAAGAATATATATATATCGTGATAAGAAACGCCAAATATCGTTCTCAACAACAGAGGCCGCAAATGCCGCCGACGATTCCTTCCCCTTTTTAACTCCATAAATATATATCACATACATGTTCCGGGCAACTTGTCATGCACAGAGTAGACGTCAATATCGTGAGAAGGTGGAGTCCCCACTCGACCTGCCATGTCCGTAGAAGGCGCGATGTCTTTAGAAGGCTCACGATAAGAAATGGCAAAGTGATATATAAAGTATCTGCATGATGCACAAATCAATAAGCCCATTCAAACACACACCAACATGTCATCACGAAGGTCGATCTACTTCAACCCCGCGGCAGCAAATGAGAGCAGTGCCGCCCCGCAAACCGAAGGCCTAACAGCATTCCACCAATCCTTCCCGAATTATGCCCCAACTCCACTAATCCAACTCCCAGAGCTCGCAGCCGAGCTAGGCATCAGCAACGTCCTCGTGAAAGATGAAAGCAACCGGCTCGGTCTACCCTCATTCAAAGTTTTAGGCGCGTCATGGGGCTGTTTCCGAGCGATTGCAGCGCAACTGAGCCTGCCCTCTACGGTCTCGCTCGATGAACTCTCCAGCCGAGCAAAAGAAGCCTCGATTGTCTTGACGACAGCATCAATGGGTAACCATGGACGGGCAGTTGCGTTCATGGCTCGCCTCCTTGGTATCGAGGCGCGGGTCTTCGTTCCTCGGTCTTTGAACCAGTGGACTCGGGATCTGATCGCCGGGGAGGGGGCTCGGGTGGTTGTTGTCCAGGGCGATTATGACCAGGCGGTGCAGGAGGCTGTGGATGAGACGCGGGTAGGACAGGGTGTACTTCTCATCCAGGATACGGCGTTTGAGGGGTATGAGGATGTTCCTGCGTGGATCGTGGAGGGGTATTCTACTATGACGCATGAAGTCCAGAGTGAACTTGCTCGGCTTGGGCTGTCTGGTAGTGTGGTGATCACCCCTGTTGGTGTGGGTAGCCTTGCCCAAGCGGTCGCGAAGCATTGCAAGTCGCAGAACATGCCTATGTCGGTTGTCGCCGTTGAGCCTGATACGGCTGCATGTTTATCTTCTAGCTTGGCTGCTGGAAAGCCGGTTACTGTTCGGACTTCATCGACGATCATGGATGGTATGGACTGCGGCACGGTATCTTCTACTGCTTGGCCCGATCTACAGCGTCTGGTTGATGCCTGCGTCACTGTCTCATCCTACGAGAGTCACCGCGCCGTGCAGTATCTGACTTCCAAGTCTGTGGCTGCTGGGCCATGTGGAGGTGCATCGTTGGCTGCACTTCGACGATTGGCTACATCAAAGGAGGGAACGTCACTTTTGAACAAGGATTCCGTGGTCGTCCTTCTCAGCACTGAAGGTGCACGCGAGTACCCAGTTCCAAGAGACGTCTCTGTTGACGATGTCGTGGGGCTAACTCAAACTCTCACTCAAATCAACTCCTCCAACCTGACCTTGTCTATAACAGACGGAGTAGGTGAGACTGAAATCGCAAACTATCTGGCCGCCTGGTTCGCCCATCGAGACATTGAGTATCATTGGATTGAGAAAGTCGCTGAACGGCCATCTATTGTGGGAGTCCTGAGAGGCAGCGGGGGTGGCAAGTCTCTTATGTTCAACGGCCACACAGACACCGTCAGTCTCTCCAGCTACGAGGCAGATCCCCTGTCCGGGTCTATTGGAACCAAGAATGGAAAAGAGGTCATCTTTGGCCGGGGTTGCCTCGACATGAAGGGAGGGTTGGCTGCAGGGTTAGCGGCCCTTGCAGCAATCAAAGCAAGCGGTCGCGTACTGCGGGGCGATATCATTATAGCTGCAGTGTCAGACGAAGAGGATGCCTCACAGGGAACTCAGGATGTGATCGAGGCTGGCTGGCGTGCTGATGCCGCTGTACTTCCAGAACCAACGCAAGGCGCGATTTTTACAGCTCACAAGGGATTTGTGTGGGTGGAAGTTGATATCCTCGGAGTTGCTGCGCATGGATCCGACTATGCATCAGGAGAAGATGCCATCCTATATGCCGGATCCTTCTTGCAGGCTTTGGAGGTATACCAAGCGCAGCTGTCAGTAGATGATCTCTTAGGACAGAGCTCGCTACACTGTGGCTTAATTCGGGGTGGCGAAGAGCCTTCATCCTATCCAGACAAGTGCACTATCACTGTCGAATTCCGCACTGTCCCAGCACAAACAGAGCAGTCCATTCTCGGAGACATCAGCGCGCTGCTGAAGAAAATTGCCCAGCAGAAGCCTCGTTTCAGATACGGCGAGCCACGCATTACCATGTCGCGCCCTACACAGAAGGTGGCAGCTGATCACCCGTTCGTGCAAAAGGCGATTGTTTGTGCCTCTGATGTCCTGGGAAGCAAGCCTGCTGTTAAGGCTGGTCCGTTTTGGACTGATGCGGCCTTGCTTGGTGCTGTAGGTATCCCATCCATTGTGTGGGGCCCGGCAGGAGATGGTCTTCATGCTAAAGAGGAATGGGTTGAAGTTGAGAGTCTTCGACAGTTTGAGAAGGTGTTTACTCGGCTTGTGCAGGACTTTTGTTATTGAATATAGACGTCTGTATGTAAGTACTGCTTAGAAGAACACACGTAGATTATTTTTTCCAAGTTTCCTTTGTATATTACAACATTCCAACTAAAAAATACTACCTACTACTGCCTTGTGCATTTGATAGTCTTGTAGTCGGATAGATCGTGGTCGTAGTCCTTGCGATCATTGTTATAGTCGGTCTGACCGTCTTTCGTCAGCCGTTCACCTTCTTGTAGGTACTTCTCGTAGGTACTTCACGTCGTTTTGTTTAGTCGCTCTAGCTTCGTAGGGATGGTAGGTCGCTTGCTTTCGTCGAGGTTTGGATGAATATAATCCTAGTTGCCGAGGTTTTCGGTAATTGCTTCCACCTATTCAAACTAATACAGCCCAAAGAAAGTATTGATAAATGGAATTATTCAATAGAGACAGCCAAACGTGGTACTAGTTGATTCTTGTAGAGGAAGTGTTGTGTTGTGGCTGGTGTTCTTATCGCCACGGGACTACACAGCCAGAGCCGATCCAGATCGGCCACCTTCGCCTGACGACATCCCACTCATAATCGGCTAGCACACCCATCTCGTTGTTTCCAGATTTCCAACAAATTGATATATTTTCTCGGAGATCCTGCAACGATGGCAGACGAATCACCAGCACAGCGATCCGCACGAGTGCGCCGAGAGCGCCGGGAGGCAAAGATCAAGGAAGGAGGATCAGCACGTCTGGACAAAATCACCAGTCTGAGTGGACGCACACCACAAGCTGGTAAGAAATGAAAATTCCATCTCCGGCTTTACTCAAAGAGCTCCCGATAGCAAAGCAGACATACAACTCACCAGCCACGCCAGTACAGACAATGCTAACTGAAGTCAACTACAACAGACCGCGACGAAGCCTCCTCCCCCCAGTCCAAGCACGCAATCCCTGAATCTCCCTCCCCAGGACCTCAAACCCCCCAGCTCGGACTCTCACCCTCGCCCCAACCAGACCTGCAGTCCCAAGAAGCGATGCGCGCCCAGCAGCAAGCGTTCTTCTCAATGCTCCGACAATCCGCACCGGAACCCAACCAGGGCATGCATCCCGACCCTCAAGCGCCAAACAGCCTCCAGGCCCAACAAGAAGCCTTCCGCACGATGCTGAGACAAACCACACAGGACCAAGAACCAGGCCAGCTTCCCGCTGACGGCGAAGACCCCACCATCAAGCTCCTGAACTCCCTCATCGGCGCTATACCCGGCGGTGACCCGAATACACCAGGAGCACCTCCAGCGGGCGCAGGCGCAGGCAACCCACTCACACCCGGATTCTCGCCCGCTGGCATCGCAACAATGCTCGGCGTGCCGCCTTTCCTTGCCAATATGTTGAATGGAGCGCCGCCGCCTACAGAGGCGGAGCAGAAGCGCGCTCGGATCTGGAAGACGCTGCATACCGTCTTTGCTTTGACGGTTGGTGTTTACTTGCTTTTCATTATTGGGTCTTCGGTCGCGTTGTTCGGTAGTCCGCCGCCGAAGCCTGCAACCGTGCAGAATCCCTTTGCTATCTTTGTGACGGGGGAGTTGATGTTGACTGGGGGTAAGGTGTTGCTTGGTGGGAAGTCTGGTGGTATCGGAATGGCAGTGCAGCTTTGCAAAGATGTCGTGAGGGATGGTAGCCTCCTGCTGTTTATTCTGGGCATGGGGACTTGGTACAATCGCGAATGGCAGACTACGGTGTACTAGGTGGCTTGAGTATGTAGCTTCGTTAACGATCAGCGGTATGAGCATTTCAATGGGAGATATTATGTGATCATTATTTCATTATTCGTATGTTGTATATCACTTTTGATCGACGCTACATGTTTACGGCCCGCTGAGACGGTGGGACCGCATTGCGTAGAACAAGCAAGGCCGACGCATCTAAACCCCAATCACCTTCCCATTGATCCATACGGGATCCCTTCTTGAAATGACCCGCCAGATGCTCCGCCCGAGCTGACCAGGTGGACAGCGAAGACCCGCAGAATCCACAGCGGCTTTCGACGTTGGCGGCCGATCCGCGCCAGGCCTCGAGGTCAGCCACGGGGGCTTTCGTGCAACCGTGGAATTTGCGCAGATGCTGCCATAGATAATCCTTCCGACTGAACGACCGCTCCTGGGCTGGCTTATCGGCACAGACTTGGAATTCATGCTCTTCCCAATGGGCGGGCGTTGGGAAAAGGACGTCGCAGAAGGGACATTCTGAAAACTGGCGTTCGAACGCTTGTTGGACGTCGTGGGGATTTGGAGTGCAGACCCAGGAGTCAAGGGTGAGATGGACGCTTTTCTCGTGGCGGGCCCAGTCGTGTTTCTTCTTGAAGGACTGTGGACAGAATGTGCACTGGTAGGGATGGTCTACCGCTGTTCGTTGCCGTCCTCGGGTGCGTCTGGGTTTAGTTTGTTTGTGGAGTAGTGGGAATGGCAGCCCCGTGTCTGCTGAGGAATGGTAGCTCCATGCCGAAGAGGCGCTATCGGATGTTTCAGATACCTTGCTCCCGATGCTGGATACTGATGACGCTAAGTGGGACGGGCTCTCGTCGAAATTGAAGAAATCCATGGTAGATATGTCGAGCTGCAACGGGTCAATGCTGTCGTTTGACTCTATCGAGCCAGAGTAAATGGCATTTTGAATAGCCGCTTCTGGAATAGGTTCATCTTCTGGCGGCGAAGCCCGCCATCGCTCCATTGGGGTCAGGGAGGACAGCGTGCTGGTGACCATGGGAGACCCTGAGCGAGTACGGGATGTGGACGAGAGACCCGCAGCCTGGATCTTTTGCTTTTGGCGGCGGCGAGCGTTTGCAAACCAGGTTGATATGCGCTTTTGGGAGAACCCAGTCTCGTGGGCCATCTGATTCTTTTGTTCGTCTGTTGGATAAGGATATTCTTGATTTTGATAGAACCACTCGCGGAGAACTCTAGCTCCTTTTCTGAGAAACTGTTTGGGTTCTTTTTGTTGATTGCCATTGTCCATAGTGGCAGCGGGAAACGGGTTTCCATCTTCCGGAACACCGTGGAGATGACCAAAGACCGGAGAGAAGGTTTCAAATCCCGACGGTTGGCGTTTCTCTCCCTTTGCTAAGCTGCATTCTCGAAAAAGGGCTACACAACTTGAGCAAGACTTTTTGGGATTGGGATTGGCAGGCGCAGTGCGAATTATCAGACATTGTAGCCGATGCCTGCGACAATGGGCACATGATGCAGGAGGACGATATGCCCCATCAAGCCACTGTGAGACATTCGTAAGACTTCGTTGCGAGGATGGGTCAACGGATTCTCCCGCTAAAGGCGGAACGAAATCATGGACAATTTCAGAAGCCTTCAATTCCTCATGATCTTGATGTCCAGGTTGTGTATTGACGGTTCGCGTGAGGTGTGACTCATAATTTGTCCACTGTGACCATTCCAGATCACCGGTGTCTGAGGGAAACGGGAATTGGTAGTCAGTATTTGTATCGAAAGAACTCTCTTTGCCCCATTGGGTGGGCTCAATTTCACCCAGCAAGCCCTCTAGCTCTATGTCTGATAGAGGCTGCGGCAACGGCTGCCATGGTGAAGGGTTGATCGATGGCGACTGTGGAGTCATGCCATATAGCGATGAACAGATTCGCTGGCGCAGTGGCCCTTCTTATATATCTCTAGTCCAAACCCCACGAGTAGCGTGGCTAGAACCCGTCGCGTTTATGCCCGCCGTTGATCTGCCAATATGATGGGGTCGCCGACAAGTCCGCGCTAATCCAGATTAGGCCAGGAAGGGCCACGTTCCTCTCCGCGCTAGTCCCAAAACGGCAGGTGCGCACTTGCCTAGATGGGATGTGCATATTACTAAGCTTTCCGCCCCCGAGGCCCGTGGACGAATCTCGGGCGACCGACAGCTGATCGAATGTTAGAATGGGACCGCTAATTTTTAGCGCCTCTTGGCCCAGAGGAACATGTATTAATCCGAATTCCGAGAGCTCGGCGAATGTCAGACATCAGCGAATGTCGGGATTCTTTTAGGGGTTATAATACCCTAGTACAGAAGAAGATAGGGTTTAGTGGTAAAGATAATACGGTAAATAATGATCACGGGGTCTTTATGAACGTCTATTATAAGCTATGAAGACATCCTAGTGTAAAGAGAGATCTCGACATTCGCTAAGACCCCTCTGAGCAGATAGATAGTCGAAACGCGGATTAACACGGATTAATATATTTTCCTTCACGCTAAATTAGCGGTCCCATTCTAACATTCGATCAGCTGTAAGCCCATCTCGGGAACAACCGCCCTGAATCTCGGGGTCTGTGACCTCGTGTTTACTGCGCCGACTTAGACTTCTCTAGAGTTGCCTTGCCGGTTACTTCCTATCTATCTCCATAAATCCTTCGAGGTTTCAGATTACGCACGAGGTTGTGATTGTCCAAAGTTCCTGGAGTCCCATCCTTCTGCCATCATGGTGCTTGGTTGTACCTCACGAGCACAATTGAGCAAATCCCGAAGAGATGGCATGTTTGGATGGAACAATCCCAATCTCATGGTCTAGCCTCCAAAGATGTATTTGTTCCTAGGCGGCTCCAAATAAAATTCTATGGAAATCGACTCGGAACGTTGCTTATCAGAATTAAGCTTATCTTTATGTTATTGAAAGACCAAACACTTAAAGCTTGGTTCACATCGAATCCGTATTAGGCAGGACGCTAAGTGAACTCTATGCTGTGGGGGATAAATAAACGAATTGGAAGAAGCGGAGAGGTTGATATGGCATTGATGACAGTACAATGGAGCCAGAGATAGGATATTAGACCCGGGGTAGATATGGAGGAATATGTAGGCGCATAACTCGACTCCACAGTGGGCCGCACCGGAGTTGGCCTTATCGTCCGTAGTTCGGACGGGGGCGTTTTTTCGTCGCCACTCGGTGAGAGCGCCAATTTATTTAGCGAAAACTCGGCATGCACCCGATTCCCGGTGAAGATCTAGTCTCGGGAAAAAAAAGGCTATCTGATATAAAATTAAAGCCACAATTCGCAGCCTCTTCAGACGTACATCGATCGGTGTATACAACCTTCTCCAGCGTTCCCCAGCAAATAATAAACCTTATAACATGACTGGCCGAGCGCTAACAGTTTCTATGTGTCAACGATCAGGCAATTTACGCTACAATGTAGTATCAAGTGGGACTGGGGGTGGAACTGGGGCAAAACTAGCTTTCATGAGCAATGAGCTGAATTTCCATAACCAAATAGAATGAGTCAGCAAGGCCCTTCCGGCACCGACATTGGCCCACACGCTGGTCAGATCTCCGGATTCGGTCCGACCTGAGACAGGTCATTGGTGAATTCGTCGCGTTGCATCGAATTTTCTGTGGAACCTTCCATTTAGTCCTACGGGGCCGAATTTCTCTCGCGAGAAAATGGGGAAACAATAAGATGGCCAGAATTCCCGCCTGGGTTTGTTTCTTTCCTCGTGGGCTTTAAACATTTCTTCTCCATCTTCAATACTTGAACTATACACAATGGAAGTCAACACAGCACCACCCGTCTATGAGAATGACAAGATCGCAGAACGGAAAGATGAATCAACATACGAGGAGGAGGGCCCCATCAAGACTGGCGAAGTCCACGATGCCTTTGGCAACGAGGAGTACGCTGACATCAAGTATAAGACCTTGAAGTGGTGGTACGTACTATCTTCGGGAACAAGAGTGTCTTTATGGCCGTGCTAACACGTCTTCAGGCAATGCGGCTTGCTCATGATCTGTGAGTCAGTCTCACTGGGTGTGTTGTCGCTGCCAGCAGCCATGGCCACCCTGGGTCTCGTCCCCGGTATCATTCTGATTATCGGCCTCGGACTTCTCGCAACATACACTGGCTACAATATTGGCCTCTTCCGTGAACGGTATCCCCATATTCAGAACCTGGGTGATGCGGGCGAAATTTTGCTAGGCCGCTTCGGCCGAGAGCTCTTCGGTACTGGCCAGTTCCTCTTCTGTATCTTCGTCATGGGCAGCCACATCCTTACCTTCCGTGTCATGCTGAACACCCTCACCAACCACGGCACCTGCTCCGTTGTGTTCAGTGTCGTCGGCATGGTTATTTCAATCCTCCTGTCCATGCCCCGTACGATGAAGGGTATGACCTGGATATCGTTCCTATCATTCCTCAGCATCTTGAGCGCCGTCACGATCACTATGATCTCCGTGGGTGTCGAAAAGCACCCCGGTCGTGTCATCCACGCCACAGTCCCCAACGACCTGTACACTGCTTTCCAGGCCGTTTCCAACATCGTCTTCGCTTACTGCGCCCACGTTGCTTTCTTCGGTTTGATCGCCGAGATGGAGACGCCCCAGGATTTCAAGAAGTCCTTGTTCATGCTTCAGGGCTTTGAGATCTGTCTCTACCTGACCGCTGCTATTGTGATCTACTTCTACATTGGCACAGACGTGCATTCCCCTGCCCTCACGTCCGCAGGACCCCTGATGAGCAAGGTTGCCTACGGAATTGCCATCCCCACCATTGTCGGCGCCGGTGTCGTCAACGGCCACATCGGCTTGAAGTACATCTACTTCCGCCTCTGCTCCAAGTCCGGTCTGATGCACCAGAACAACAAGCGTGCTGTCGGTCTCTGGATCGGTCTTGGTATTGCTTGCTGGGTCGTTGCGTGGATTATCTCCGAGGCCATTCCTGTCTTCAGCGACCTAAACAGTTTGATCAGTGCTCTTTTCGCTTCATGGTTCAGCTACGGTCTGTCCGGTATTTACTGGCTTCACCTCAACTATGGTCAATGGTTCGCCTCTCCCCGCAAGATCGCCCTTACCGTCCTCAACATCTTCATTGCCTGCATCGGTTTGGTGCTGTGCGTTCTTGGTCTGTATGCTTCTGGTACGGCTATCAACAAGAACTCCAACAGCAACAGCTTCACCTGTGCCGACACAGATACTTAGATGACCTTCTTGCTTCTTGATTCATAGCACTAGACCTTGTTAACGTTACACGCCCTGTATATATACCGCATATAGATTATGCTCGGAGCGCACTGGCTGGCTCTAGAATATAAATAATTGATTAAAAATTCTCAACTATCTTGCTTGTCCTAATTATACTTAGCTATACCGTAGGATCGAGAAAATCCTTGCCATACCAAAATTCGATATATACACCTGTTACCTATAGATATGGAAGTCTTCCAATGGTAACTAAGCAATTGACCTTAAGTACAGGCTACGTTATATACTCATATTGTATAGCAATGGTCACTTAATATATGGTCTGTCAAGCCTATTCTATTCCAAATAAGCGTTGGGCGTGGCTGAGTTTGCTTAGATGTAGCTTGGATGTAACTAGAAAAGAGTGAAAAAGGTAGGAAGAACAGCAAACATAATGTGTTAGAAAGAGTCTCTAGATACTTTGAAGTTGAAGCTGAAGATGTGACTAGGAGTTGACAATGAGATGAAAGCTCTTCTATTGAGCAATGTTTGCTAAAGTCTGTCATTCTCACTCTTTCTATTGTCCACACCTACAACTGCCACTGTGACCTTCAATCCCCCTCTACTTCTTCTCTCCCTCTCACTTATCCTTCCTCTCTTCTTTCACATTTACCTCAAGTCAACAATCATTCCTTTCAGAGTGAGAGGTGACATTCATATCGCAAAATTCAGCAGGAAAGTCCACCAACAGGAGGTAATATCTATCATCAAATCATCCCTCAAAACGAAGACGATGATTTACCTCAACTAGGTGTACCAAGATGGATTCCAAAACACCTCAGATCTCGCCGGCGTTAGAAACCCTACCATTTGAAATTCGACGTCATATTCTTTCGATGGTGGAAATCGACAGCCTTAAGACCCTCGTCCAAGCCTCTCCTGTTTACTTTCACCACTACCAACTAGAGTGCAAGCTCTTGCTATGTCAAAGTCTGGAGTCGACATTGGGTAGCGTGACTGCTGATGCCTATGCAGTTCACAAGTCTACTTCCATGGAATGTTCAAAAGGACGGGATAGCAAAGGAATTGATGATTTTCTGACATCCTACCACAAAATGAGGTCTCAAGCCTGGTCTTCACCTCTCCACAACATTCTCATCATGGAAGAGGTCGAGACAATGGTCAGATTTCATTGCTCGATTGTTCAACCCTTGATGCGATGCTTTGTCAGAGAAGTATTGACTAATCTCACCGAGAAGACAAACGGGTCTCAGATCGAAGAGACTCTGAGCACAACAGAAGAGACACGACTGATGCGCGGGTTTTACCGATTCCAACTCTGTTGCAACATCTATGGCCTCGAATCGGCGGAATCTATCCCCTATGTTCGCTGGATCTCTATCTCCCAACACATTCTGGGAGACTTCTTGGGCATCTTTGACCCTTGGGAGGCAGAAGAGATATCTTGCATCAGTTATTTCTGCGAAGAAAAGTGCGAGCAGATCTTCAATCAGATCAAACAGGGCCTGGATGAAGAGAACTCCGGAATCGATCGACTTGACATTACCAGTCCATGTGAGTAGGAACCCCCTGGTTTTAAGCTCCCAATTTGAGGTCCATACGCGGGTTGGAAAATACTAATTTTGGCTTTGAAGCAACAGCCAAGTTGACCAGGTATCGTGGCCTCGAGCTGCTGCACTTGGTATACCCCATCAAAGACCAGGACCAGTTGGTTGTTACGAGGCAGTTGCCCCCACCCATGCGTCCGGGCGGCGTTCTCAGTGATCCCCACAGCGTCTTCGAACAACACTTACAATGGCATCGACACTGCGTTCACCCTGGGGAACGCGACCACCGACAGGAGCGCCGTGAGCCGCTCACTTTCCAAGGTGACAGGAAACCCGATGGAAGTTGTGCGCTCCTCCCACCGCTGGCCTGGACGATCATATGGGGTGGAAGTTACAGCAACCTCTTTGGGGAGTACATCCCCGACGCTTTATGTGAATGGGGATGGGTTATGTGGGATGCAGACCGACTAGAGCGAATGGGTGCTTTGGGGGTGATGATACAGGAATGGGAGGAGGAGCATCAGAGTGACCCTAGGAAGGATTACTGGTAACCGGCACTCTGTGATGCGAGGTCGATATCGGCACACACGACGATCTGCCTGCTCTTTCTCATTCTCAGCCTCACTCCCATCGTCTCTCCTATCATCATCATCATCAAGATTCCAAACTCAAGATGTCGCGAATCAGTGGAATTGCATCTTCCCTTTATGTCCCTTTATGCCTCAAAATCATCAATGATGGGCAGACATATTACGACTTTGACGCCATCCAGCGCCGAGGGCGAGTCGGTCATGTATGGTGTTTGGATCTCTATTCTTACCTGGCAATTCGACCCCCGTGACGGATATATTACTTGCCCGCATCACAGCCTCCAATTCAGCTCTCGTGGCTTTTCGGATTTCCAAGTGCACCAATATATTTCTCTGGTTGTGCAATGCAAGGGGGAATTCGGTGGCTATATATGGGACGGGGCGAGAGACCAACTGGAAAAATACCTTCAACCGATTCATGGCGATCCTGAGTCCAGCCCTACCGTCCACGGAATTGTGGCCATTGGCCAATGAGTCAGATCTACGAGTGCGACGGTATCTTGTACGAAATGGCTTCATCCAGCTACATAAGTAGCTCTCTCTGTTTGTTTGTATAATCATTCGGGCCCGAAATCTTTCTTTCTCTCTCCCGGCTTTCTAAGCCTCGCATCAATATTAATGGAGCCGATGTGGCCACCATACTAAGGGTAGTTGAAGATTAGAGTCTGGAATAAATCCAATCACAATGTGTCATTCTCAAGCTACATAATCCCAGAAAGCGAAACCCCCTCGGCTAGTTCATCTGTCCCATCAGTATGTAATGGTAACATTCTTGTTCAGATACTTCGCGTCTATCTTCAAGACAAGGTTCTCAGCAAGCCACCTCCCCGCATCCTCCCGGGAGATAGTATAGCCAATAGCTCTTGACTCAGGACCAGTCTTGGGATCCTCGATGCCCACGCGGATAGTCTTGTCCGACTCGCCATCAACAAGGTGGCTCGCACGAATGATTGTGAACGATTCCCCGCTCTGCGCGAAACGGTCTTCCATGACTACCTTGTCTGCCCCGGGGACGCTGACAAACAGGTAATAGATGGGTATCATGACAACAGGAACGTCGCGGCCGAAGCGCGAGAATCCCGCTGTACTGCACCCAATTATGTGTGGAGTTCCAGTAATTCCGGCGCTTCGAAGCTGGGCAAGGGCATTTAGGATAGTTGCCGCGCCTTTCTTGCAGACGTCTGGATCGTCGACGGTCATTCTGCGTGGCTTGGCGCCGATGGTAGACACGATGACATCGACGATGTGGCCATCGTCGGTTTGGAGGCACTGCGATACGGCGGAGATATCATGTGCATTGCCCTTGATGACTTTCAGATTTGGTGTTGACTCTGAAGGGAAGATGGTTGTGAGTTTTGAGGGATCACGGCACAGCGCAATGCATTTGTGCCCGGCAGCGAGGGTGCGTTTGAGCGCAGCAAGGCCAACGCCGGTACTGGCGCCAAAGAATGCGACGGACTTGGTTTTTGAGGTCATGTTATAGATGGGCTGTGGTTGCGAAAGTAGCGAAGTATTGGAAGGCTATCCTCTGATGTTGATAGTGGAGGCGAGCTGGATGTTATTCCCAGTGTCTTGGAAGGGGCGATGGGCTTCATAATATACATTTTGGCTGACAGCAGAAAGCGAAAAATATCCGAGCCAACGCAGCATGCCTCGCTATTTTCTCGCGACTTGCGACTCGCAACTCGTATTACAATGAGGGGGAGAACACGAGGCTAACCAAATGAGGCGGAAATGCCGTTCTCTCGTTGGTTGTCGCTCAACCTTCACGACTGAGTCAGACAGCCAACTCTGGCAGGCCTTACCATTTGCCTAACGAGATCAGGATAATCAAGGTTTTGCTTGACCCCTGTCTGATTGATCACTTGCTGGAACAAGCCCATAACGGTCCCAGGATGCCCGAAGAGCCTCCTGTCACAGGGGACGCGCTCGCTTCGGCCTCGGATGCCGAGAAAAACGCGAGATTCGACGCCTCGGGCAGAAACACAACATCGCCGAAGCCGCGCAGCTGCGTTGTATGCCGAAGTCGGAAAGTCCGATGCGACAAGCGAGCGCCTTGTTCCAATTGCCGTCGCGCAAATATCGCGTGTGTGCTTCCACCAACAGACCGTCCGCCAAGATGGGCTCGCCATCTCGACCGCCTCAACAGCGCGGTATCCAACCTACCGGCCTCCCAAAAACCCGAAGAAGACGTGATGGAGAAACTTCATAACCTTGAAAGCCTTGTTCAAGAGCTACGGATTCAGCTGGAACAGGCTAAATCAGCAGCTAACTCTGCTGAAGGGTCATCCGGGGTTGGTTCGCCTGAAAGCTCCGCGCATGATCGACAGTCGAACCCACCTTCCATTAGTACTGCCAGCGTGCAAAATAAATTCGGGAGACTGGTGCTTCGGGATTCAGACCGAAGCCGCTATGTTAGCAGTGGCTTCTGGTCTCGGGTCAATGACGAGGTATGCGCCTTGGTTTGTTATGGAATGAATGGCGAGTTAACTCCTACTCAGCTTGATGGCCTCAGGGATGATGTTCGTGATCTTCCATTAGGGGAATCCGATACCTCAGATGATGAGGCATCACCGGAGATGACCCTTTCTACACAAGAACTCGACCGGACCCCTGCAGAGCGTCACGGATTCTTGTTTGGGCATAATTTGAGTCCTTTTTCTCCCAACCTAACTGACCTTCTTCCACTCCCTTCTCAAATTCCGTTCCTTCTAGACGTGTTCTCCGAAAATGTGAACATTATCTTTCAAATTGTTCATCTTCCCACCATCAAGAACATGGTTCGCGATTGGCGCGGCCGTGAAATGAAGGGTCTCACACCGGCCAATGAAGCTTTGATGTTCGCTATTTACTACGCTGCTATTACATCAATGGAAGAAGAAGATGTAAGTCAAATCTTTAGATGTTCAACTTTCGGACGGATCCAAGCATGCGGGCTCACGTCTCGGGACATTTAGGTATTACTTAATTTCGGAGCCACCAAAGCCGAGCTCAATCTCAAATATCGCCAAGGCCTCGAACATGCTCTTGCCAGAGCTGATTTTCTGAATGCACCTAACTTAGTCCTAGTGCAGGCATTTGTAATCTTTCTTTATCTTGCTCGCCGACATGACAGTCCGAGGTTTGTGTGGATGATGACAGGACTGGCAATCCGAATGGGTCAAGCTCTGGGACTACATCGTGATGGAACCCATTTCGATTATCTCAGCCCATTTGAGATTGAGATGCGGCGAAGAGTCTGGTGGAACCTTTGCATTTTGGATGTGAGAGCATCCGACGATCAAGGAACCGATTACACGATCACAGGAGCGAGCTTCGATACTAAAATACCTCTTAATCTCAATGATACCGACCTCGACCCTGAATCAAAGCAGACACCTCAAGCTCACGATGCCTTGACTGATATGTCCGTTGCACGTGTCTCCTTCGGCATGTGCGAGGTCACGCGGCAGATGATGGGTCATGGCTTCAAAGAAGCTGCACCGAGTCCAGAAGAGCAAAGTCGCTTGTTGCAAAAAATAGACCAAGGTCTTCAACGGGACTTTCTCCAATACTCAACCGAATCAGGGAACATTACATACTGGGTGATAGTTACGGTCGCTCGGCTTCTTATGGCCAAAATGACTCTGCTTATCTACCTGCCTCTGTTGTTCTCCTCCCCAAATGAAGACTTCTCGGAGGAGCTGAGAACAAAACTGCTGGTTTCCAGTATCGAGGTCGCCGAGTACAATCATGCCCTGAACAATGAGCAAGCATGTAGACACTGGCGTTGGGCTTTCCAAACCTATACCCATTGGTACTCTATTGTCTACATGATGCTGGAAATCTCTCGGCGCCCGTGGTCGCCTCTTTCTGAACGGGCTTGGGTAGCCCTTCACAGTGTCTGGCTAATACCGAATCAAGCACACATGGAAAGAAATTTACGCGTCTGGATTCCACTCCGAAAGCTGATGACCAAGGCTAGGAAGCATCGCGATATGGAATTCGGACGACTGAAAAGCGATTCTCAAGCTGTCCAACAGCTGGAACGGGACTGTTGTATTGCTCCACTCCCGTCGAGCACTGGGCCGTTTCCATCTGGTTCAAATTCTGCAGCTCTGTTCCTTGACCAATGGCGCCAGCTAGTGGCACAACGGGATATAACCAAAGATGAAGCACTCGCATCAGGGTTTGCCGTCACTGATCCGTCGAATCCACCGATGCACATTAAAAGCACAACCCAGTCAAGTGTGCATCCTGCTCCTAATTTATGTCAAACTTTCTCCTCGGCTTTCAACGTTGAGCCAGAGTATCTCGCGCGGTTCGGGCAAGAAGTGTCTAGCAGTGGATCTACAAACTTCGACTCGGCCATGGCGTCTAATACAGGAATCGGATTTGGACCCGAAAGCTCTGCTGCTTCATCACATAATCACTTCTCGATGGCATCGGAAGCTCAGTTTGACGGTCAACTTGCCACCCCAGCTGTTGTACCTTGGCTGTGGTCTGAGAAGGACATGTCAGCTGATTTAACTAATACCTCCGAAGATCAAGCCGGGAGTAACATGGGCATAGACGAGGAGGTGAATTGGTACAATTGGGCCGCGTCTGCGAAGGATATGGAGTGTGATATGGGGAATTATAGTAGTGGACCACGCTAGCCTCCGGTTATACGCGGGGCTGCTGGTATCCACCTCGGTTGTACCTTGATTCTGGCATTTTCCTTCCTTAAATAGGTTCTGATAACAGATTCTCGAACTGATAATTCATTCTAACGGCTCCGAGAATGTGGGTCTCGAGGGTGGATATTTTGCAGAGAAATTGACCAATCAAACGAGCCCAGCGACCATCGGAGCATATGCGCGTGGACGTATACAAGAACCATGGAATACGAATCAAGCATCTAAGGAGTATCGAAAGTGAAGAGAGAAAATAAAAAGCTAGAGGGTTGAATGCACTCAAAATGGTGATGTTAATGCCGGGTACCTTTTTTATGGCCCACACCCCGCACCCAAGCTGAGAAAATGGATTGGATTCACTCAATTCCCCTGAACCCCGCCAAGACCCGGGGCTTGGGTAACGTGGCTGAGTGTCCCGAGATCGGACCTCGAGGCCTGATAGGTGGCCAGGTGAGAAGCTCGCTTCGAGAAAATTCTAGTGCCAGTCTTGCAATAACCTTGGAAAGCTAAAAGCGCCACAGTTAGATTTTACTTTTATGCACAATTACTTTAAATTTTCGAGCTCCTCATGAGAACTGGTCGTTTTAGAGGCAAATTGTATAATCTGGGGTTGAACATGGGGTAAACCTAATACATAAAGCCTTGACTAACAGTTTCCAATAGCGTTATCACTGAGGAGATAATGCTCGGGGCCGCCTACTTACCATCCGGGGTGGTTCTATATTGCACGCCGGGCCGGGTGCGCCGGGCCGGTACAATCTGACGCCGGGGGCGCATACCGCCTACGGAATTGGCTCGCCGACGCCAAATACCCCACAAACCTGGCATCGGTCAAGATATTATGTAATCATTCCCCGGTGTCGCTAGCCAAACCCATGAACGCATTTTTCAACGCCATCCTCGAAGTTGCAATCTCATTGGCGATTTATCCCGGAGAATACCCCGGAGTGTATTTGAGCGAGTTCGGGATTTGGCAATGACTCGTCTCCCCACACTCACTAGTCTATCAATTAGTAGTACTCCATACTATCTGGTAATGGAATATTCTGTTAACCTTTAGTCTCTCACGCCAAGCAAAGACTCTGGGCCAGCCGTTCTTTTTGGGCCTCCACTAGCGATTTTCGGTGCTTTTTCTTTCGCCCAAAAGTTTTCCTCTCTTCACTTCTCCATATCATATACCTTTCAATATGAGTGTCCCCGAAGCACCCCATCCTATTCAGGACTACGAAGTGTACAATGACTCAACCGACATGGAGAAGAAGGCGTACCCGGTAGACCCTCCGGATGATCCTTTTGGAAACGAAGAATCCGGGGAAGTAAAGTATCGTATCATGCCATGGTGGTCAGTATCTCACCCTGTTTACTCTTTTTAATTGCATGAAAAAGCACATTTCTGACTTTTATACAGGCAAGCTGGAACGCGTGAGAGCCCATCATTAACCCCAGTCAACGGGAACCCCATTCTAACACTGTTCATCTAGTGATGGTTGCTGAAAACATCTCGCTTGGTATTCTATCTCTTCCATCCGCAGTAGCAACCCTCGGAATTATCCCGTAAGAAAATATCTACCTCCACGATGCAGGAAGAAGGCTGACATCTCCCAGGGCGTTTGTCATTATTATGTTTTTGTCCGCCATCTCGTGGTACACTGGATACACCATGGGCCAGTTCAAGCAGCGTTATCCCCAGGTGCACAGCATGGGCGATGCCGGCGAGCTTCTCCTAGGCCCCATCGGACGCGAGATTTTCTTCGTCGGCCAGCTGCTGTTCATCATCTTCTTGATGGCCAGCCACATTCTCACCTTCTCGGTGTTGTTCAACACCATCACGAACCACGGTACCTGCACCATTGTATTTGGCGTTGTCGGTTTGGTCGTCAGCTGTGTTGCGGCCCTCCCGCGGACAGCAGAAAAGGTCTTTTGGATGTCCATCATCTCCGCCATCAGTATCTTGGTAGCCACCATCGTCACGATGATTTCCATCGGTGTGCAGGCGCCCTCTGATGTCCAGAACGATATCGTCGCGACCCCGACCTTCCAGGAAGGTTTCTTGGCAGTCACCAATATCGTCTTTGCCTTCATCGCTCACGTGTCTTTCTTCGGTATCATGTCGGAGATGCAGGATCCCCGCGATTTCCCCAAGGCCCTCGCTATGCTCCAGGTTATCGATACTACTATGTACGTTGTGACGGCTATGGTCATCTACTGCTATGCGGGCCCGAGTGTCGAGTCTCCGGCTCTATCGTCGGCTGGACCTATAATGAAGAAAGTTGCCTACGGCCTGGCCATCCCAACGGTGTGTTATATCTTTCCTCGCGGTTGATCCGGGAGTCTGTTCTAATTTCTAATAGGTCATTGTTGCCGGTGTTGTTTTCGGCCACGTTGCATGCAAGTACATCTATGTTCGAATCTTCCGCGGCGATCGCTCCCACCACATGCACCAGAAGACATTCTTGGCTACGGGTACATGGGTCGCGATCGGCCTGACTACCTGGACTGTTGCGTGGGTCATCGCAGAGTCCATTCCGGTGTTCAACGAGTTATTGAGTTTGATTGTATGTTCTATAATCATTTATTACCGTGCGTCTACTAACTTGTTGTACAGAGTGCCCTATTTGGAAGCTGGTTTAGCTGTAAGTCGACTTCTGGGACTAAGATTGATGCAAAATAGATGACTGACTGAGAACAGACGGCCTCCCTGCCATTTTCTGGTTCATGATGAACAAGGGAAAATTGTTCTCTTCGACTAGAAAGATAGCCCTGACTATTATCAACTTGGCAATTCTTGGAATTGCTTGTACTATTGTATGTTTTGTCTCTCTGCGTGATTCTGAATTTCCTGCTGACAAGACTAGTGTGGATTAGGACTCTATGTCTCGGGCGTGGCTATCAACGAGAGCTCGTCCAATGCCAGCTGGACCTGTGCCAACAATGCCACCTAGACTCGGTTATTACCGCGGTGGATATATGTCATGTTTCAGGTGTTGAAAATGGTTGCTTTATATATTTGCTCTGGGAAGTGTTGACTCAATTGGCTGGGCCATTGTAAATATACAGGTGTTCAACTTTACACGTGTACCTTGCATGCTACAGGTGTTGCTCGGTATCTCAAAGACTTCTTATACTTGAAATTCCAAGATGAGTTCTCACCAAACATAATTTCACATTCTTCTCTTGTACAAATTAATCTATAAGACGTCATCCTCTCCAAACTCCCGCCGAACACTGATGTCATCAACAAAATGGTGCACCATTATACTAATTGTGCTTTCCACCGTGAGGAGGCTTGCCACTGTGCTTCGCCTCCGACAAGCCCAGGCATTCCGCCATGTTGAAAAAGATGTCAATCGAGCTGTAAACACCTCCAAACAACTCCTGACACGGGCCGCGCGCAAAGACCGGCACGTCCGTCAATGAGTGGACACCCTGTCCTGCATCAAGGGGAAGAGTTCCATTGACCATGAAGCCACTGACGGCATCCTTGTAGTTGGCAACGTATCCCTTCTTCGTGTCCTTTGTAGCAGGTGTACGGGGACCCTCGCTGTGAACCCGATAATCCTCGCGGTGGTCAGGGAAAGTAACAACACCCGCTTGCAGGGTGTATCGCGGGTCCCATTGGGCAGGGAAGTGGACGCCCTCGGAGTACCGCAAGGCGTTGGATCCGGCGACGGTGTATTGCGACAAGCCGGAGTTCTCATAGTATCCGACCGCATTGCGCTTGCTGCGGTCGTCCTCCTGCGCCTCCATGTACTGCGTGTCGACGGAGCCTGTCACGTCGAAGCCGTGGCCGTGGTCGGCTGTGACGATGATGAGGGTGTCCTCGAGTTGGCCAAGCTTCTCGAGCTTCTCGATTGTTGCGCGCACGGTATCGTCGAGCTCGAGCAGCTCGCCCAGGGACCGGTCATAGTCCAGAGTGTGCATCTGCTTGTCGATGCTGGCGGCCTCAGCCATCAGGAACCAACCATCCTTGCGGTGGCGCTTGTGGAGCACGTCGATCGCCTTGAGGGTCATGTCTTTGAGTCCGGGGAGATCATCAGCATCGCGGCCTGAACCGTCGGGGTAGTTGCTCTGGTTGTAGAGATTGGACTGGTAGACGTTGCGATCGAGCCAAGTAGCGAGATTGGATTTCTGGAAAACACCCAGCAGCTTCTCGTTGCTTGGGGCGCTGTGCAGCGCGGTATTGTTCCAGGCCACGTTGTAGCCCTTCTCGGCGAACAGCTTGTAGTAGTCGCGCGTTTCCTCGCTCTCGAGGAAATCCTCGGCACCGGCACCAAGGAGCACATCGGGACCATCCCAGTTTGTCCACTCGTACTTGGTCAGACCTTCGTAGTATGAGCCAATGACATGGTCGTATTCGCCACGGTCGCTAGTGTGAGCAGCAAGACCGGCAGGAGTAGCATCTGCCAAAAAGGCAGTTGACACAATGCCAATACCGGAACCGGGGTGCTGGCGACGGAAGATCTCTGCGATTGTCTCAAATTTCGGGTCATCGAAAGCGTCGCTGGAGGAGTCCACATAGACACCCAAAGCATTGACGGTAGTCTTGTGACCGGTGTAAAGGGCCGTTGCGGAGTTGGCCGAATCAGTAATGAACGAGTCCATGGAGTGTGTCATCTGATGACCCAGCACGGGGAACTTGTCCAATGCCATCTTTGTCATGTATTTGCCGTTGATACTGCGGTGGGCAATGAGACGTGCTGCAGTGATCATGTTGGTGGTCATGCCGTCTCCGATGAACATAACGACGTTCTTCGCACGTCGCTTAGTAGGAAGATCACGAACAAACCAGTTGGCGACTGTCTTCTGCTTTCCGTAGTAGGTCAGAGTAGCCTCGTATTCGCCGGGCTCATAAAGGGCGATTCTCCTGTAGATCTTCGAGGTCACATTGACAAGAGAAGGCGTGTCTGCGTCCTGTGCGAATAGATCTGTTTCAGTTAGCTTAGACGTTCCCAAAAACCGAATATAGGAAGTTATTACCTTCATACCATGTGAAGTTCCACTTCTCCAACTGGGGTTCATCAATCTTGAAGTACTTTGCTGCAGTGACAGCAGATTTACCCTTCTCCTTTCCATTGCCCTTCTTGGCGATGGTGAAGGTGAAGTTCTCGTCTGGCGATCCAACACGAGCTTCAGACCCATTGACGGGGGAGTGTACTTCGAGACGGATGTCGAAGTACTGACCCGCTAGGAAGTCGACCCTGCAAATAGTAATAAGTAGCTAGAGCTTAGGTACAATTGAGACGTTACATACTGATCAGGTGGGAAGATACATCCCAAGTCAGGGCAACCACCCAACCGCTGGAAGGTCTGGGCTGCGGCGAACGAGACAAAACATGCCAGCGCGGAGATTGAAGAGGCGCGCATCTTGATAAGCCGATTGTGATGAAGCGTAGAGATTCACATTTTGAGAGAAAACACCTCCGTTAAATACAAGAACTCCGCAGCTGATTGCAAGCAAACCATCCTGCCAAGACTCTCCTGCCAAGACAATCTATATTGCTATAGACACAAATCTCCGAAGTATCCCAGTCCCTTGATAGAGTACTATTGCTACATCGTACATTTCTTTATGGGGACGAATAGGAGACACACACGATCTGCACGTGCGTAATCCTGGAGTTTACCTGGGAAGCTTGAACCTCCTTGCCAAGTCGAGGGAACGGAATGCCAAGCCAATTCAGCCAACCCCAGTCGTCCGCCAAGCTTCGAAGGCTTGGCAGACTCTCGCACGTGGGATGGATGGGAGATGCGGTGGAATCACGTTCCCTTTACTGAAGACCGTTCATACGCTTGAGTCATTTCCTATGATTGGATATATATCAAATCGAGAAAAGGAAACCCTAAGCGCTCGGCTGAAATGTCCAATGTGAGATGAAAATAAATAGACTAAGTAGAAAATCAAAATAGATAGCGCAGCATGGTGTCGTATAGTGCGTCTACAATCTCATGCTATCATATCATTGGCCCTGTAACTTCAGCTAATTCTCATCTCCGATTCGCACCACCCTTTTTTCATATAGAGGGTGGGGGACCTCGGCTCTCGCTTGGGATAAACAAACTGCGCCCTTGGATCCCAGCTAGGTCGTACGATCCTTATCTAGAAGCTGTAAAGCTATACGAGTGCCAAAAGAGCCTGAATACCACATATTCTAGCACGTGTCCTTATCACTATCGTCGCGCTCGTTGATACACCTGAGGATTCTACTGCATTGGCCCGGACTCAGATGGCAGTTCGGCTCATCGATTAGTTGGTTAGACCAAAGCTCCGCTCAGCAGATGATCTAAGAATATACGTGATAATTTTGTCACGTGATGGGCCGGTGAACTTAGCTTCCAATTATTGATTGCGGAGCGAAGCGAAGCAATTAAATCATGACCTCGTACGTGAACGTTCTTTTCTCCTATAGCTAACTATGCTGTGGAAAGTCATCGACCCAACAGGCAGAATAAATCGACTAGGCAGAATCTGGCTAGACGATAATTTCTATCAATACCTTTACCGCCTTTTGGTACAGCCTTTCTTTCAAGAATCAAGATGTCAACTCTCAAATCCTATGTAAGTGATGCATTTTTGATGGAATTTGATGGGAATTAGATAGAATTCGATGAACAACGGTGAAAAAACTAACAATTTTTCTTCGAGGCTAGCCCGCCTATAGATGGTACCTTACGCAGGATAAATGCTCCACAGAGGGTGCCTGGCCTGTGATGACCCGGAATGTAAGTAACTGACTTTACTAATTCTAAACTAGCCCTAAGCGATTAAATCACTGACTTATGGTGTAGGCTAAGAACGAATGGATCGTTTACCCTGGTGAGAAGTGGTGCCGTTATCCTAGATGTTTACACCCAGTGAGTTTAGTTTGAAGAAAATTACGACCATTTAGACTAGTTTAGAACCAATTCTCTTTTACTCTAGACTACCTTCGCCAATACCAATAGGCTTAAGCACCATATTATACGGAAACATATGACTAGTATTGGCGATATTATGACGCGGAGTACTGGTGGTTCTCCTTCTCTGGCTTCGCTCCGGGTGGCAAATGGTAAGTAAAGTAAGCTCGAATATTAGATCTGATCTAGCTAACTAGTTTAGACGATTTCTACGAGCTGATACAGATTCGGTACAAACAACTTCATGCAGTTGAAGAGGAACACCGTCCTGCCCTACCTTTAAAGCGCAATGGCGAAGTAAGTATTGCCCTGAACTAGTCCTGATCTAGTTCCTGATTTCTGAATAGGTTAATGGAACTGAAATGCGTCGTCAACTCCATAAGATGGGTCATACTGGTGCCTGCGTGTCGTGCGAAGCTGAATCTGCCGCCATAGGTAAGTTCCCCCTACCTCTAACCCCTTTCAAACTAGTCCAAATCTAATTTATAACTAATTTAGCTTGCTGTACTCACGCTCGTCGGGATCAGTGTGATTACTTTGAGTATTTCTCTGATGAGGGGATATTGCGGAAGATAAGTTCAAAGAACTGATCCTGACCCAGTTTTGACTACCTTGACCTCGGGGCTTTATCTCTTCTGTCAGAATCTAGGATGAATACTGTTATTTTTCATTCCTGATACAGTTGGGTCACGTGACTGACCAGGCTGGTATTTCTGCAGAAAAACCAACTCAGGTGGTTTTTCGCCCGAAAAACCAGTCCCGCAGTTTTTCGCCCGAAAAACATCCTTTCATTTTGTTTTGTTTGTTTTAATTACTAAGTTGTCCACAAGATTGTCATGTTTTAGGACTATTATCATTTTTAGAGAGTTAGAGAATTTATTAAGATTTTTCTACCATATATACAATCGCCTTACTACCGTTTTTCTGTCAGTTATGAGCCCGGAATCGCTTTAAACTTAACTCTTATAATTTTTCAACCTTTTATCCCATTTTGAATACGCCATTTAGTCAATATTAAGACACCTGGCCACGTATCGGGATACCCCTGAAAAAATAAGACTCAACCCCGAAAGTAACAACAACCAATCACAATTGGAATTAGTTTAGGACTATAATTTAGAAATCATGGCAGACTATCATCCTCTCTCTATAATACCTTCTCGCGTAATTTTAAAGGATTCGACCAATTAGGTACTATAGCTCACAACCATTTAAGCTATTACTCAAACATATAATATTTAGGATTATTATAACCCTAAACTTAAAAAGGAACCAGATCGACCGGTTATACTAATTATACTAAAATAGGAAGATATTAAGAAGGAGTATAGAAATAACTAGTATAATATCTTTAATATTCTAAACGGTAAATACTAAGAAAAGAAGACTACCTACAATAGGGGTCTCTAGGGATTTAATATAGTGGTAAATGCTATTAAGTCGAATGTTCTCCTATCTTATCAGGTATTCCTAACTTAGGATTCTCCTTAGGTACTACTTCGAAATTTATAATAGCGCTATGCTCCTAAGTATAACCCTATATATAGATCGAATCTAAGAGTAGAATAGAATAATCTAGACTAAGGTCTAGACCGGAATATAAATATCGAAAAATGGTTACTAAAATAGGAAACTCTGTATACTTATTATATTACAGCTGAAGTCAGTGAAGTAAAAGATATAGCGATACAGTTCCTATAAGCAATTATAATAATCTTACCGGAATTCTTTACTATAAGACTCAGAGATATACAGTAAAGTCTATCCTAAGAAAAGATATAATAAGAAAGAACTATCGAGTTTAGTAAGCTGTTATCTTACTATAAGACTCAATGGGATAGTACTATTAGCAGATAAGCTATACAAAAAGGTATATTAAAAGCTGTTTTCTCGACCTAGTAAGGATATTAAGAAGCCTAGCTAGTATCTACTAATAAGAATAGTGGAACCGGAAATAGTAAATGAGCTAAATCTATAAATAATATACTATTCTTTAGAAGAAAATGTCCCTATAGATATAGTAGTAAATATAACTACCTAGTATAGAAATACTAGGGGGCCTACCTAGATCTTATTCTAGAAGGGTATACCTAAGATCTAGAATATAAGAAAGCCTAGGATAAAGTAATAAAAGAGGATCCTATGTAGAAAGTATTTATCGATAAAAGACATAAAGAACTAGGAATAGCACCTAAAAAGAATAGAAGTCAGTAAGCGAATGCTATAATCTAAAGCGAAGAATTGGGATTTTTTGTAATAGAAGAAGAAACTCTAGATACTATCTTCTAAATCTACAAAACCATACTAATAAACAAAAGATAGCTAGTCGATACAGGCGCACAAATTTATATTTATAACAATCGCAATCTCTTTATTACCTTCGAAGAAACCAAGAGCATAATCAAGGTTAGTAATACAGCATCAATAGTATGAGACCCCTAGGTATGGAATGCCTAAGGGAATGCTGTATGTAATGGAGGATCGGGAAATAGAGATAGTGATATACGCAGGGTATATTAGAACTAATAGCTGCTTCTCCAAAGAAGCAGCATGCGAGGATAATATACAGGTTTATAGGTCACATGACCCAAGGAGGCTGTGTAGGCAGTACGTATTACTCCTGTCTAGCCCACATTCCCCCACGTACCTAGGATGGGTGCTCCACGCCCTATGACAGGGCTTATACCTTAGGTATCAGCCTTCTTAGTACTAGGGTCCTGATAATATCCCCCTCCTTATAGTATACGGTCTCCGTAGGCTCAGAATAGGAGAAGAATAAAGGAGCAGCTTAGTCCATTAAAACCCATATATCTAAAAACCTCGCAGTAAGGGCAAAAAGGTATGTAGGGAAAGGTATCCAGCCTCAATGCTCTAAAAATATAAAAAATGATATAACAGAAGTATAAACAGAGGGTATAGTACATATAACAAGGTCTATACACAGTGTGGTTACATAACCGCGCTAAGAAATCAGGCAGCTATAGTCTCTAACGAATACAGCATGTTAGTTAGCCTATAAACTTAGGCATCTTATATACATAAGGCCTATAAACTCAGGCATCTTATATATATAAGGTATGGCTAAGTAGTTGTTTACTAGTAAGAGAATACAGTTAGGATAAAGGGAGATACCATACCTATATATAACCAGGGTATACCCCTAGTATCTTCTTCTCTTCTTCAACCTCTTATCTTACTCAATCTATAAGTATACCCAGTTTATTTTTTTATCAAAATTCCATTAATTTAATAGTACTTCTATTAGGATAAAACCATTCTAGTTAGGGTACTACTATTAGTTAGTAAATATAGTAGATATATTCAAATTTGGTAGTATTGCGTTCTATATAGTATACCGAGAAATTTTAACGTTATATCTACCCCTTCCTTATAGGAAACGGCCTCGTTTTCTAGTTTATATACTAACTATATTTATAGTATAGTAATAGTATATCGTTATCCTATACCGCCCTCCTCTAAGGAGGATAAAACTCTACGTCTATAGGTATAGTGCTATTGTATATTAGGCCGCTAGCCTATAACTCTACTACCTTGCCTAGTAACCCCTAAGCCTATTAAGGAACCACTGCCTTACTAGCGGTACTTCTTCCGGCTATAAAGCTACCTAAACCATAAGTATAAGACCCTTATAGGTTATACTAAATATACTTACTATACTTTAGTAAAGTATAGTTATATCCCTATAAGTTAGCTATATTATTATAGGGAGGAATCTATTACTAATAATAATATAGCTTCCTATCGAGATTTAGCCTACTATCTATACCGCTCTCGATATATCGCCTATATCTACTTATATACCCTAAGTATATATTATTGAGCAGAGTATTAAGCGCTTAACCTATATAGCTAATAAGGCTAAAAAGGCCACTACTATTACAGAAGCTATAGAGGTTATAGTAGTTACTAAAGTTATCGCAGCCCTAGAAGTTATGAAAAATATAGGAGATATCTCTAAAGTTAAGGAATTCTTCGATACCCCTATTAGTTTAGTAGAGGAAAGTGTAGTTCCTAATATAGGTATACCTAGCGACACTTTATTTACCCCTATAAACTTAGCCCCTACCTCTTAGGATACCCTGATTATAGAGTCTGTTTTACTGCTCTATAGTATTTTTAATACTATCCTATTAGTATTTAAGTCTAGCTAGGTATACTAACCTTACCTATACCTATATATAAATCCTATTAAGTATAGGGAGTGTAGTACTAATTTTTAATTTATAATTAAAGCTTCTTATATTTTAAGTATATATTTTTAGTCCTTATCTTCTTCGGTATCTTTATAGCTATATTCAACCTAGCTTTATAGTTATTAAGGGCCTTAGTTTCTTTGACCATAGACTACAGTTCCTAGGTTACTTTAATATTATTATAACTATACCACTTAACCAAGTAGGACTTATTCTTCTTACCTTAATAGGATAGGATATATATTGAATAAAAGAGAGGCTGTTTTATATGGTATAAGCAGTAGGATACTAGACCAAAGGGTAAAATGAGTATAATTGTGAAAAGGAGGGTTCTCCTCCGAGATCTATCTTAGTATATGTTTATATAATTGGTATATATGGCTACTGACTACTAATATACCACTAGATATAAGGAATATACAGAAGTACGTTATTTCTGGTTAATATACCCCCCCTAGAAGCTATATTATAGCTCCTAAATTCGTCTTATCTATTGTTAAGCTATCTATCTATCTACTAGATCCTAGATATCTACTAGTCCTAAGGACTAAATAAACTTTTTATAGGATTATACTAGTAGTAACTTAGTAAGCCTATCTGCCTATATATTAGTAGTAGCTACCTACTAGATTAAGATATAGCCGGTATTAACCTCTTAGTATAGCTAATAGTTATAGATATTGATATAGCGAAGCTTAGTTTATAATTATAGTTATTTATAGGTAAGTAAATCAACTATCTATTAGTTATTATAATTAATAATAAGATCGGTCTAGTAGTTAAGATTAACTATATAGAGTAGCCGTTCCTACTATATTACTAACTTTCTAGCCTTAGAGATAGTAAGAAGCTTAGCTTTAGTTATTAAGGTTATAACTATATATTACTTACTAGCCTTCTAATCTATTACTATACCGAATAGTTTATAAAGGAAGCCTTCTAAGCTTTTCTAGTTAGAATAGTTACTAAATAATATATTACTAGAGAAGTAAAGTACTGGTTATTTATATAATAGGTAGTACTTAAGAGCTATATATTATATATTATATAGATATTAGATTAAGCGATTAACTACCTTGTAATACTTAGGTCCTAGGTTAACTAGGAATTTAGTAAGATGATTTACTACCTTTACTATATTAAGATAAGTTATAACCATTAGATAAAGGGCTAAGCTAAGCTTTTATTAATATTTATAGATCTACTCCTTTATTATAATCCCTAAGAACTTAGTTATTTTATTTATAGGAAGTAGGGTTTTATACTTA